TCTGCACTGGTGGTGTGGAGCCTGCTTGAGATTCTCTCTCTCTCCCTCTCTCTCTGGCCTTCCCCCACTTGTGCTCGCTCTCTCTCTCTCTCTCTCTCTCAAAATAAATAAATACACTTAAAAAAAATTAGAAGGTTTTCCATGCCTGGTCTGTAGCCTCCACAACCCCAAGCTGAGTGGTGGGCACAAACCCTCATTCACCAGTCAACCCAAGCTGCTTCGTTGCATGTGTAATGGCCTGGCCCCTAGTTTGAGACACTCCAGTGTCTGGCAGGTCAGGTCTGAATCCCCTCTGACCAGCTGTGCAACCCAGGGCGAGCTACACAGCTTCTCTGAGCCTTCGTGTTTTTGTTTCAACACAGGAGCAATGACACCCATCTAATGGCGTTATCATTAGATATGATATCAATGGATATGATGTGTAGGGTGAAACCGACAAGAGAACAGACTTGTGCTACACTTGTCTGTTCCACAGTTACTTTCTCTGCCTCAGTTTTCTCATCTGTAAAACGGGGATAATAGCACCAGCCTCCAGGGCGGCTGGGAGGGTTAGATGAGTTGCTAATAGAGACAAAGCCCCTAGAACCACATCGGGCACACAGGGAGGTACGGCGCAACTGACCGCTTTTATCAGGCTGTGCTGGGCTCAGTGCCAGATGATACCTCAGGTTTCGCTCACCACATCCTGCCTTCCCTCACCAAGCTCCTGAGCCCAGGGACCCTGTACTCTGCACCCCAGTCTGCCCACTGCTTGGCATATAGCAGGCACTCAGTTCACAAACACCCCCCTGACCTGGCCTGCCCCCTTCCCTGGCCACAGCGGGGTCTATATATCACTTGAGCCACAAGATGGCAGCAGAATCCAGCAAAATGCACCCAACTTGCTATGGAGAAGATCTAGAACACCCGGAGGTTCCAGGCTCTCTGGGAGTGAAAAGCTGGCTTTCCACTGCTCTCCACCCGCTGAGTTGGGCACCCCTGGAAACTCAGGGGCTGCAGCCCGGCCCCAGGTGTCTGGAAGGTCCAGCCTGCACTCTGACCCTGCAGCCCCTGGTGTGGAGACCTCTGGGGGTCCAGACACCGTAATTTCAACACCCTGTTCCAGGCCCTGGGCACTGAGATCATAGAGGCTGCCCCTGGCCTCAAGGAGTCCAGTCTCACTGGGGAGAGAGTCAGAGATCGTTGGGTGACCAGGTCTGGAGCTGCTGGAGGAGGAGCCCAACCCTCCCAGCAACCTGGTGGGGCTGTCACCGAACTGCCATCCCATGGCTTGCCCGCGGTCATACAGTTCCAAGCGGCAGACCTAGGGCTCACACTCGTGTCAACACAGGCTCGGGACACCCTGGCCCTGCACAGGGCACGAGGGGGGGACCGCCCGGGCTAGAACACCCTGGGCGAGCACACGCTGCCCCTTTCCGTGTCGATGGGCAGATCAACCTGGAGGGGACTGGGTGCCCCCACGACCCCGGGGCGGGCACCCCGAGCCCAGCCCACCCGGGGTCGGCCGGTACTCACTGCGTGTCTGGGGCAGCGCCCTCACTTCGTTCACGTCCGGCTCGCTGTCCGGCCGGTGCACCTCCACCATGACAAAGTGCTGGTTCGTGCCCGTCACGTCTGGCCGGCCGGAGGGGGAGGGTGGCGGGAGACAGCCCCCTGCCAGCGTGGCCTCCGCGGGGGGGCTCTTCAGGTGCGGCGGTGACTGGACTCGCGGGAAGGGGCCGATGGGGTGCTGGTTGACCAGGGCCAGGCGGGCGTCCAGCGGCCTCTTGGAGCCAGGGTTGGCAGGGGAGACCGAGGCATAGATGGGGGAGGAGGGCGAGTCTTGTGCTGAGGAGGCCCCCAGGGCAGGGGCAGTGCCCGCTGGCGGGCTGTGGTTCCGAGGGGCCGAGAAGACGATGCCTGAGTGGGAAGACGCCGAGGAAGGTGGCTGGAGGCCCTCCTTCCCTGGCTTCCTCTGCTGCTCAGGCGGGCGGCTGTGGCCTTGGGCCAGAGGGGGTGGGGGAGGCGGCGGCTTGTAGACAGGCAGCCCCTCGGAGGTGGCTTTGACATCATCCTGCCAAAAGACCCAACAGGAGTAGAAGGAGTCAGAGCCCATTGTGGCTGGTAGACAGGCGCCCCGAGCAGGCCGGGCCCCGGCTGGAATTCCGTCCTGCTCTCTAGGCTCTTGGCCACACGGCTCTGAATAATGCAACACCCGAGTGGAAAACTTCTCCCCCCATCTCAGCAGCTGATAAGCGTCGGGAACTTGGCGGGCGTCTCTGGGGAATGGCACCGTTACCTTTGGGAACTGAAGTTCTTGGCGTCAGCCAGGACTTGTCACAGGGAACAAGACTTAATTAGAGGTGGATGGAGAGAAGGGCAAAACGAACGACAAAAAAAAAGCACTCTTTTGGCTTTTCTTGTTAGAAGGTTATCATGGCCACTAGAGACAGGAGATGTGCAGGACTGGAGTGAGAGAGAATGGATAGAAGGTGACAGTCACATGGGCTCGGGGGCTGTGTGGTCCTGGGCAAGTCACAGCACCTCTCTAAGTGCATCTCCGGGCAATGGGGAAACCTGGGTCTACCCGGCAGAGGTGAGGGGATGTGAGGGACCACGTGTGTAATGTGCTAGCAGGTGCCTGCCACACAGCAGGTGCATGGGAAGTGGCAGCTATGGGTACGGCCATTGCTATTTCCCTCTGCCTATGCCAACATACAACACTTGCAAACCTCGGACGGCAGTGTGTCCCAAATGCTTTACTTAAATGAACTAATGTACCTCTCGCCACAAACTTGTGGGGTAGGGACACGATTATTATCCCCATTTTACAGAGGGGAAAACCGAGGCACAGAGAGGTTAAGAAACCTGCCCAAAGTCACACAGTCAGTGGCACGGGTGGGATTTGAACCCAGGCAGTCTGGCTCCAGAGTCTAGGCCGTTCAGAAGTTATCCGGGTCAGAACTGCACAGTGATGCTGCCGGGGCTGCTGATGTGGACACAGCCAAGGCCACATTTAACTTCCATTTCCAGGGTGGTCATGTGGCCTCTTCAGGGAGTTCACACACTCCACGTTTCAGTACTTGTTATGATCACGTTCAGACAACGTATCAAAAGTAACACCAACTTAGCAAACAAACAGCCTGACGCCCACCCCAGTCCTGGGCGCTGCTGGAGAAGCCTGAGTGACGCCCTCGTGCACGAGCCTGGGGCTGGGTCTGAGGGCCTCTGGCTCTCACCAAGAAGCCAGTCCCCAGGGCCTCAGGCAGACCAGGAAGGGCAAAAACTCACTGCGGGAACCAGAGAGGGTCTTACCAGGGAAACATCTGGGAGGGTGTTCATATTGCCCTGGACAGCCTCGCCAGTTTCCTCCAGGTCCAGAGTGTTCTAGAAATGGAGAAGAGAGCAATGTGAGCAAATACAAACCGAGAGGAAAAAAGCAGTTTGCCCTCCGAGATACCAAAATCCGTGCTGGGCCCCGGGACACCTTCCTGTGGTTTATGCGTGTCCCAACAGGCCTCACTCTTGTAGAATTTACACATTAAAATTAATGTCCGTTTTCCTGCTGGTCATCTTAAAATCAATTTTTCTTTGAAGCTTCTCCGGGCCTCCCCTGAACTATCTGGAGATGCTGTGGGGTGGCTCTGGCCTGGCCCGGGAATTCCCAAAGCTGAGCCCCGGGCTCCGGGCCCTCATACTCAGAGCTTCCAAAGCCTGAAGGTGCTCGTGGACAGAATCCCAGGAAGGTGTGAAAATGGCAGGATGCACAGGAGAGGTGGGTAGGCAAGTCTCTCTTTTAATTTAGTGGCTTCAATTGTGAGTCAGGCAGTTAAAGTTTACATAGACCTTATTTTGCAAAAACGCCCGTTTTCTGCTTCCTTTGCTAACTTGAGGAAGAAGCCTCAAGCTCTGTCAAGTGGCGCTGAGCTGCTGAGGGCATCTCTAGGTGGTCCCTGGAGGCTGAGCAGTGCCCCTGTCAAAAGTAGCTCCTGAGGCCTCAGGGGAGCCATTCCTCCACCCCACAGAACCCAGGATGGCAACAGAGCCTCCACAACCAGCACCTGGCTCATGTCTCAAGTGTGGCCCTCAACACTGAGCAGTCTCAATGCTCCACTGGTGAGGGCCTGGGGCCACAGAGGAGGCGAGACCCCACCCCTGCCTTCTGTAGCCTGGGGCCAGTGGGATGGACACAGACAAGCAAGGAGGAGACTGTGCACAGAGCTAGGAGATACAGGCATAGAAGCGGCTGGGGTGGGGTTATCAAGGAAGGCTTCCTGGAGTAGGGAGCATGGCTTAAAGCTGAGTCCTGTGGGTCTTGAGCTGGGCAAAGGAGGGAATGATGGTGTTTCAGAGGGAAGGGCGTGCATAAAGCAGGAAGGAGCTTTGAGAATTTTCGAGCAGTTCCACGTGACTCAAGCATGGAGCTGCTGGGACTTGAGGCTGAGGGCAGCGGGTTGCCATGGAGATGCGGTCAAGTTTGTCTTCTATGAAGGTTCCCTTTGCTCACTTCCTCTCCAGCCACACTAGAACAATACAGGCATGTCAGGGCCTTCACACTGGCTGTTCCCTCTGCCTGGAACATGCTTCCCCTCAGCTATCCACAAGTCATGCCTCCTTCTTACCTCCTTCAAGATCTTCCCCAAATGATCACCTCCTCGAAGAAAGCTATCTTCACAACCCCACCTAAAATCACAACCCCCCCATCCCCTGCCCTGCTTTATTTTTCTGCTTTACGCTGACCACCATTCTTCACCCAGCAGCAGGATGTAAACCTGGAAATGTAAGTCAGATAACACATTGCTCAGAACCCTCCAGGGTCTTTCTGTTTTCCCTGGAGAAAATTCCAAAGTCTGCAATCACTGTGCCCAATGAGTGGGCCCTTTCTTGCTACTTCAACAGGAAGGGATGGTCCCTGCCTCAGGGCCTTTGCATTCACTGCTCTCCCTTGTTCCCACAGCACTCCTGACTCACTCCGTCACTTCATTCAGCTCTGACCTCAGCAAGGCCTTCCTGGACCAGCCCTGTCTGAAACAGCACCTCTAACCCCTGACCGCACTTCATTTTTCTGTGTAAGATTTATCACCACCTTATTGTTTGTCTCTCCCATTAGCATGAGAACTCCTCAACGGTAAGACTACCTGGTCCCTACTCTATCCTCAGTGTTTAGGATAGTTGCTGCTTGACAAATATTTACTAGGCAAATGAATGAATCGATGGGCGAATGAATGAATGAATGAATCGATCACTCTGGCTGTCATGGAGGAGGCCCCAGCAGGCAGAGAATTAAGCAGGGCAACGACTCTCGATCATCGCAGGGAACAGTAACGGTGAAGGCAGCGGGTTGGGATGGAAGGGGCCCACGGATGCCACGCTCCCTGGGGCCCAGGCTCTCAGGTCACTCCGCACTGATCCCCATCTCGAATGATGCTCCTGGAGCCCTGAACATCCTGGGCAGGCAAAGGGCACGTCATCACAAAGACCAGTCACGGGAACCCACCAGTAAGACACTTGGCTCTCCCGGCTTAGAGCCTTTCACACCCAGGGCTCCTCATCTGGTCCCGTGATGCCTCTGGGGGCAATGTCAGGCTGGGACACCTGCCCCGTTTTACCAACAAAGCTGAGGCTCACATGCAGACTTCAGCCTCCCGTCTCCACCGCCGTCCCCTGCATGCCGCTGGCAGCCTCAGCGATGCAGAGAGTGGGGGATCCTTGGTGGGGGAGGGCAGTGATGGGGCTGCTCTGGCACTCACTGGTTAAGTGACACCACTTGTGGCTTCTCTGATGTCACATCCAGCTCTACCACTCACAGCCAAGTGATGGAGGGCAAATCACTGATGTGCTCTGTGCCGGTTTCCTCATCTGCAGAATGGGTTAACAGCAGTCCCGCTCTCATGGGGCTGATGCATTAGCACTAAAAAATGCTCCGAACAAGGTCTGGCACAATATAGGAGGGCGGGCTACTGTTACATCAGAAGCCTGGGACCTGGCAAACCCACCCCAGCAACCTAACCACTGCCTGGGCCCATGTGAACACTTGAGTGCAAATGCAAGAGCAGTCTCCCTCCTCCCAAACCGGAATGAGTCCGGCACTCCCCAGAAATAGTACAGCTGGGCACCACCAACTGCCCAGGGTTAAGGTGAGCGGCAAGGCAAGGCTGGTCGTGTGCGATGACTTCCCCGAGAGGGGTCAGAGGCCTGGGAGGTGTCTATGGCAAAGGCAAGAGGGACCTCTGCCATTCTCAAATGCAGCCACTGCCAGCTGTCTCCAGATTCAACCTGCGGGCAGCCCGGGGGCTCAAATGACAGTCCTTGGTAGGACCAGAGGCACGGGATTCTGTCCTGTTCTGGCATCTTTGGAGTTTTGAGCACTCATCTGGCCAACAAGCAGTTTTGGCTCATGGGGATACATGATGAGCAGGTCACTGTGTTCCTAACACACAGGAGAGGGCCATGCACACAGTAGGTGCCCACACGTTTTCGTTCAGGATCACTGATGGGGCCGGCGGTCGTACCTGGGCCACTGGGAGGGAGACAGGAAGCATCCGGAGCCCTGACAACACAAGCATGCCTCTGCCATGCATCGCAGAGCGGGTGTGACCGTCTCTCAGAAGGGTATCAGAGATCGATCCACAAACTGGGGACGACCACGCACCAGGCCCTCTGCTGAGCATTTTACTTACTCGATCTCGCTGGATTCTCATGGGATCATCTCATTGGATTCTCATGGGAGACAGGCACTGGGATTGTCCCTGGCTCACATCATTTACACTTAAGCTCAGGGAGGGAAGTGACCTGTCCAAGACCACACGGCCATGCTACAGCAGATCAGGTTTCTAACCCAGGTAGGGGTGGCCCCAGAGCCCATGCAACACTTCCCCAGAATTGGGTAGGGCCCTGATATCACAGGAACCAAAGGGCCCTGGGAGCGACCCCCTCTGAAACGAAGCCACATAGCCATCACCGGCCCCTGGCCTCAGCCCATTCCTTGCTGTTAACAGCAGCCCGGAACCAATACTGAAGGCAGGCATGGCAAGTCGGGAGGATGAGGGTGGAGTGGGGACAAACATCCAGCCCTGGGAGCAAGGCCTTTAGTGGAGCAAAGAGCAGACGGGTCAGAGCCGGGCCCTGCCAGACTCCATCTGCCAGATCCAGACGCTCAGGAGCCCCGAGTCCCCGAGCCATGTTCCTTGTGCATCTGAAATAGCTGCAGACAGCAGGCTAAGAACCCCGGGGATGCGTCAGCAGAAACGCTCGAGGAACAGACTTCGAGAGGAGGATCAAGGTCAGCGCTCACGCAGGAGCCGGCTTGTGTCCTGGCCGCCTCGCCAGCCCCACCCCCACCCTGCCAGCAGCTTGGGGCCCCCTTCCGCTGCAGAGGCCAGAGACCAGCTGAATGTTTAGACTCAGGGCTCAATCAGTCCTGAGTCTCCAGCTGAGGTCACTGAGGTTCAGAGAGGGAAGGCCACCTGCCCAAGGTCACACAGCAAGCGCGAGGCAGAAGCTGAGCCATCTGCAAGGTCTGACTCTGTTATTCAGACTGCTTGCCATAGGACCCAGGATGCCCTCAGGACCTGCTGTTGTTGCTCCCCCGGCTCCTTCCTCTTCAAATCAGTGGCAGCTCAGAAAAACTGGCTTCCTCTCTGAGGAAAGAACACGGTGAGGGCCTGTATAGTCCAGGCGTCTGACTGGAGGGGACTGTGGGGCCAAAATAAAGTGAGACGGTGGAAGGCAATCACCTGGCTGACCTCTGCCAGGTGGACTCACGGTTCTGGAAGCGCTACTGCTTCCTGGCCCAGGTATCACCTCAGCAAAACGAGGCTCTCCCCTCCCTTCCCCCCTGCTCCTGCCCAACTCCCTGCTATCCCTCCCCTACATCCCTTCATTAGGACAGGAGGGCTCTTACGTAAAGGTGCTATTTTCAGCTCTTTGTTCTTCTTGCTTCTTTACGCTGATGTCAGGACAACGGGCTCCCCCCAACTCTGCCCCTAAATGCACCAGAGGCCTCTGGATATGGGGAAACTGAGACTCTGAGTCACAAAACTTCCTGGAAGGTCACTTATGGGGGCCAAGATTTCCGTAGGAGGCCAGTGGGAGGGACAGAGGAAGGAAAAGCAGAGAGGGGAGTAAGGGAGAAGGAAGAGAAGGAAGGCAGGAGGGAGAAGGGGAGAGCAAGGAAGGACAGAGAAAAGCAAGGCACGGTGCCAGCTAGAGCTGGGGCTGCCATCAGCCCAGGAAGGTCGGGGTGTCGGAGGGGGCTTGACAGTGACATGAGCTGGGTAGGGCCAGCCTCCCTGGAGTGAAGGGGACAGGACTGGGGGGTCCGAAAGGAACATGGAGTGGGAACCTGGGGGGACGGCCATGCTGGCAGAGACAGGATCGTTGTGCTCCTGAGCTCTCCAAGCACAGGGTGGGGCTGGAAGTCTGGAAGCTGATGGGGAAGGGCAGGGGGGTGCACTGGGAGAGAGAGGATCCCCAAACAGGGCACTGGAACCCACACTCGCTGCTGTGGCCGAGGCCGTGGGAACTGCCCCGGTGCCCGGCCAGCTCTGGGCGCTTTCACCAGCTGTCCGCTCCTGCCTTTGTGCTTGAGCATCAAACCACAGAAGTGCCCGGGAGGGCCCGTGTGGCGCAGACAGACTGCGCTTCCTTCTGTCGTCCTGCATCTCCCTCCCCCATGGCCTCAGGACAAGGGCTTCACTCAGCGGACAGAGTGTGACCCAGAATCTCCAGGTCAGTGTTGGAAGAGCCCTTAAGACAGGCGCTGGAAAGCAGGGCTCCAGGAGGGATGTGGTGACCCAAGAACCCAGCCGAGGGAAAGCACCACATCTCTACCTGCATTAACCTCCAACCCAAATGTCACATCTCCTTCCTTATAAATGGAGGCAACACAGCCCGGCAGAATCAGGCTCTGGAGGAGCAGGGCTGGCCTATGTCGACTTGCTTGTTTGCTGGAAACGGCTTCCAGGACCCCTGCCCCCCAAGCACCCATACGGAGGCAAGTGCACCACAAAGGGCTGGCCGTGAGGTCCGTTCCTTATTTCAGATACCCGCTGATGCAAAGCTGCCCCGATGCCCGCTAATGCCTCTGGGGAATTTATGGCTCTGAGGGTGCAGGGGGCTCATGCCGAGGCCTCTCAGGAGGAAGTGGGCTGTTGGACGCAAGCAGACAAGTTGGCCTCGCCCCGCCCCCACCTGGCACTGAGCGGCCTCCTGGGACACGGGCTACAGAGCCAGCCTGCCTGACGACACAGGAGTAGCTCCGCCAGGTCACCCCATCTGCACACCCCCCTGAGCTCTCTCCACACACACGGGAAGCATCTTACAAGATGCAAACAAGGGTGCCTGGGTCTTGATTTCGCCCGGGTCATGATCCCAGGGTCGTGGGATCAAGTCCCACGTTGGGCTCTGTGCAGAGCGTGGAGCCTGCTTAAGACTCTCTCTCTCTCTCTCTCTCTCTCTCTCTGTCCCTTTCCCCTATTCACACATGCTGTCTTTATTTTTTTTTTTAATTTTTTTTTTTCAATGTTTATTTATTTTTGGGACAGAGAGAGACAGAGCATGAACGGGGGAGGGGCAGAGAGAGAGGGAGACACAGAATCGGAAACAGGCTCCAGGCTCTGAGCCATCAGCCCAGAGCCTGACGCAGGGCTCAAACTCCCGGACCGCGAGATCGTGACCTGGCTGAAGTCGGACGCTTAACCGACTGTGCCACCCAGGCGTCCCTCACATGCTGTCTTTAAAAACAGAGAAAGTGCAAACAACATCACATCACTTCCTTACTGAAGACCCTCAGTGGTGTTTCACGGTTTCAGGATTAAGCCCAAGTCCCTGGCGGCTCCTGTTGCTAACCCCCCACCCTGTCCTCTTCGCCCTACTGACCTCCTACGGTTCCTTCCAGGGTCCATAAGCCTCGAGCTGAGGGCCCTTGCACGTGCCGATCTGGCCCCTCAGCTGCCTTGCCTTGTGTATCGCCCGGCTGATGCCAGTGACTTCAGATCTCAGCTCAAACATCTCTTCCCTCACGTCCTGGATTGGTCAGGGCCCCAGTCCTCGACCCATTTGTCAGAGCAAGGATTATGCAGGTGATCTGATTCAAGGCTGCCCCCCCGACTAGACGTGCTAAGCTTTGGGACAGCAGGTGCTGCTGTCTCTTTCGCTCACGGCGACCAGTGGCCCACTCAGAGCCTGGCGTGTGGGAGGTGCTCAGGGAATGCTTGCTGCAGGAGCGGGTGATGAATGGGTGAAGGGTTGGGATCCTTCCAGCTTCCCCACTGGGGGACGACTTGCCCGGCAGAGGACTCTCTAAACCCATCCAGGCTGGACCAAGGGCAGAACACAGGAGGAGGAGGAAGGTCCTCTGACTGTCTGCTCCGTTTCTGGAGACAGCTGCCTTGACAATCAGGGCATCTCTGTAGCTGAGAGGACCTGAGACAGGCCTGAGCTTCTCTACCCTCCTTTCGCCCTGGATGAGGAGGAAAGTGTGGGGGCCACAGGAGAGCAAAGTGCTGACGGCCACACCCAGCACCCTCTTCCCACCTCACCTCATGGGAACAGGAGCAGTAGGCCTTTAGAGGCAGGGCCCCTGCTACAGCATCCTTTGGTGGGCTAGAGAAGCCCCTTTCCAGGCACATGAGAGGCCTGACATGCAAACCTCTCAATTCTAGGCAGAAAGGGGCTGTGGTTAAGCCTGGGGCAAGTCCACCACCCCTGACCCCAGCGGCACCTGCTTTGTAGGTCCAGGGCTGGCCTGGGCCTCTACAACGCTGTTCCCCTGAAGGCCTCTGTGGTGCCCTGTCCCAGCTGTTAGAGCATCAGCAGAACGGGCTCCCAAGTACTCCACACCTCCAAGTCTGCTCCCGAGCTCACGGATTCTTCACGACGATCCACACGTGGCTGGTCTTATCAGCCAGCGTACAGATATGGAAACTGAGGCTTCAAAAGCTTAAGTCACCTGTCCAAGGTGACACGGTTTCTACCTGGGAGAGCCAGCCCGTCTGTGGAATTCCAGAGCCTGTGTGCCCAAGCCCCTCTGCCACGGGCTGGCTGGCACCAGATAAGGGCTTCAAGACACGGCACGCAGGCCTTTATTCTGCTCAGCTTCCCCGGCTGACATCTGTATGGGAGGGGAGTGACACTGGAGGCAGGAAAAATTCCCAGGGCTGGCTCTCTATTAGACAAATGGAAAATAAACACAATTTGTCGATGGGGGAAGGCTGCATCTGATTTCCTTTGATTGATTTTGTCTGGCTTGAGGGAAAACGGCTGCGGAATGAGCCACGTTTAACCTGGGATTGATAACTGCACCATGAGATCTGCAGAACTGGGGCTAAATGGAAACCGGTTCCATCTAGGGCAACTGTCTGGGGCATCTGGGTCACAAGAGCCAGCTGCCTGCCACTCGGCCCGTCTGAACACCAGATCAGAGGACATTTTCCTACGATGTGGGAGGGAGATGTTTCTAAGGCCGGAGTGTTAGAAGATAATCCTGAGCGGCCAGGGAGTGCGGATTCATTTCAGTCTCTGCTCCACAATCTCCAGGCCCCGGCTCTGTCCCAGAGCCAGGCTGGCACTGGGCACCCAGACAGGAGAAAGATATGGTCCCGGCCTGCATCCCAGCAGCGTCTCCCTGTTTACCAGGGAGGACAAACTTGGGGAGAGGTTAGAGCCGTGTGACAGGCATTTTAACAGACAGGAAAGCAGGTGAGCTCCATGAGGCATGGGGTCTGGGCCGCAAGAAAGAAATGCCTTCGGCTTCTGTCCATCCAGATTCGGGGGGTTATGGGTCACTCAGCATCACCGCAGTAAAAGCTAACGGACACATACGTGCTGGTGTTGCAGACCAGCGTCTGGCACTTGGTGACGAACAGGTTAATACTGAATCCTGACTCTACCATGCCCTCACTGAGCGACCTGGAGCGAGTCCCTTCTCTCTAGGATTTGTTTTCTTCCCTTTACAATGGCGATCACGGCGGTACCTGCCAGTCCTAGTAACTGGGAAGCTCAAAAAGATACAACTGGAAAGCATTATCACAGTCCCATGGAGAATTCTCTAAAATACCAATTACTACTATCATTGAGAAAGGCCCCAAGTGCGCCTGGGTGGCTCAGTCAGGTAGGCATCCCACTTTGGCTCAGGTCATGGTCTCAAGGTTTGTGGATTCGAGCCCCACATCAGGCTCTGAGCTGACAGCTTGGAGGCTGGAGCCTGCTTTGGGTTCTGTGTTTCCCTTTATCTCTCTGCCCCTCCCGAGCTTGTGCTGTCTCTCTCTCTCAAAAATCAATAAATAAGACATTTTTTTTTTAAAAAGGCCCCAATTATTAATATGGGCCAGGTTCTGGGCTGGGCACTAGGGATTCAATGGTGACTCCAGATATCATCACTGCTGTGGTCAAGGGGAGTAGCCAGCCAGGCTTGTAAACATTATTAGAATATAATGAGACAAGAGTCATGACAATAGGAAATCCAGGGGGCTGGAGGAGGCACAGGGAAGTCAGAAAATCAGGGAAGTCTTCTGGGAAGAGGGAGCATGTGGGCGTAGGGGGCTGCACACGTAGGAGATAGCCTGGCCATGAGAAGTGGGAAGGAGAACATTCCAGACAGAGTTTATAACATATAAAAGGCCAAGAGGTCTGTCAACAGCCCCACAGCACAGAAATGATCATCCTCATTTTATAGATCCTAAAACTGAGCTCAGAGAGGTAAAATCACTTTCCGAGGTCACACAGTAAGGAGGTGGCAGGCCTGGGGTTTAAGCTGAGTGCATTCTCACTCCAGAGCCCGAGGAAGCCTGATGAACTGGCAAACAGGAGAGACCGTGAGCATCAAGGAGAACCCCAGTTCCCCACTGGGGCTGGGTGCAGACGTAAGGGAGTGGCAGGCAGGGCCACAGCCCCGGACCTCCGCCCTGGCTAAGGGACTCCCACAGCCCCGCCCGGCAGGAAGGACGGTACCTCCATCAGGTCTATTAGCCACAGCAGCCGCTCCTGGGGAGGAAGGGTGGGCAAAAGGCAAAAAGAAAAATACATCAAATAAATATTAGGGATGGGGTGGGTACAGCAGTAAACCTGCCAAACATGCATGCATGCTCACACACACACACACACACAGAAAGGCAAAATAAACACGATTCTCTAAAACCCCTTTTCTATTTCCTTTAAATGCTTTGGGCAGGAATAAAAGACGGATGAAGAAAAGGCTCTGTTGCTATAACTGGGACTCTTTCAGTATAACTGCCTCCTTGAAGGGAACAGGGGCCACCAGGGCTCTGCAGAAATGACGCCTGTCCTTGAGAACCCCTGTCAGAAGATGGCCATTCCCCTTGGGGCAACCCTGGGACTTGCCAGCAGGCAGGGCTGGGTCATCACCCTCATTTGGCAGATGGAAAAACTGAGGCTCAGAGAAGTGACTTGTCCAAGGTCACACGTGTTAATGAACGGCAGAGCCTGAAGGAGGACCTTGTTCAGGAGACTGGATCAGAGAAAACCTGGATTTCAGAGGGGCCCAAGCCCTATGCCGGCAGCAAAGATCTCAGTCTGAGGGATAGAGCCCCACGCCGTGCATGTGAGAGCACCTGAGACTGGATAAGATTGGAGGGGGGTGGCAGATCCTCAGCCCAGTGCTTTCCAGAAGGCTCCAAGTATCTGCAAGGCTGCAGACACAAATCCTCAAAGTGGTTTTCTCCAGCCAGGTTGGGGGAAGTCAGTTAAGAGCAGAGGCTTCACCTGCCCTAGGGGTGTGGACGGCAGTTCTGGGATGCTAGTGCCAATAGGGAGATTACTCATCATTTAATCTTCCCAAGAAGCTGGGCACAGCAGCATCACTGCCCCGGTGCAAGTGGGGAAACTGAGGCACTTGGCGGTAAAGCATGGAGCCAAGACGGGTGGGGGGCCAGCACTTCCCAGGTATGGGGGAGACCCCGGGGCTGGGGCAAGGCCACTGCAGGAGAGCACTCAGCTGGGCATAATAGTTACCCTGACTGCCATCAGAGCCTTGGGCAAAGGACCTTGGGCCATTCTACCTGTGGGGAAACTGAGGCCCAGAGAAGCCAGGGCTTAAACCTAAATCTCCTGCTTCCCAGGCTAGAACACGCCCCATCCCACCCACTGGACCTCTCACCCCCAGAATTACAGGCTGCAATCCCCTGGTTCTAGAGCACTGGCTCATGGCTCCTGAAGCCCCACATGGACATTACCAAGGCCAATCTCAGTGGAGTCGGACCCACAGGGAAATGGCCCCTCGGGCCAGGTCCCTGCAACCCGAAACCTGCTCATCACCTGGGTGTCACATCAAAGCATGTGCACAGAACCAAACACACAGCCCCAGGAGGGGAACAGCCTCTTCCCTGTCCCCGAAATGATCTGCTCATCCTGGACCGTGACATTGCTTCCAATGCAGCCACATCCAGAGCCCTAGAGGAATGCCTGGCAGCTTCCTGGTCACCCCAGGAAGGGACAAGGACTCCTGGGGAGGAAGGTGACTCAGAATGGTAGGGGTAAGAAGCAGAGGAATAGAAGTTGCTCCAGAAACTCAGATCCTCAGAGCTAAAAACAAAACAAAACAAAAAACAAGCCACGCTGGGAGACGGAGTCTGCAAAGCAAAGGGCGCCGCCCCAGGGCCGTTTCCTGGTGGGTGCAAGCTCATCCATGCCCCCTAACCACCGGTATGCAACCTTGGATGTCACTGCACCCCTGCAGCTCCTGTTCCTCCAGCAGGACAACTAACTGCGTCTGTCCCGAGTCGATTGAGTTCCACCTGTAAGAGCTCCCAATTCTGCGTCTGGGAGCAGCAGTGCTTGAGAAACATGCTTTCCCCTGCCCCTTCCACAGGAGAGTGGTGAGGAATGATCCAGAGACAGGAAAGGAGAGCATGAGCCACTCCAACTCTCCTGACCTCCAGCCCCGCTCTTCCTACCAGAAAGACGGCGACACCTGGTTCCCATACCAAGCAGCAAGGCATTTTCTCTGCCCCTTCTTGCAAAAGCCTCCTGGGATTAATTTGCCTCTAAGCATCCTGGCGGCAGAACCCAGGATGGAACAGATGCTTTTCTGGAGGGCTGGCGAGTCAGGGTGGGTTCCAAAGACAAGAAGGTGTATCTCGGGGAAGATGCCATCACTGTGACCACCTTGAATGCACTGCCGCGGCTTCTTGTGGGACCCTCCCACGACTGTCACTATTTTCTCTATTTGTCTCATTACCGGTCTTTTTCTCCTTTCTCTCTGAGCGCACCCTCCCCCCCCCCCCCCACCGACCGTGAGCCCAAGAGGCAGGGCCACATCTGCCTCGTTCACTCGCTGTCTTCCACAGCCGTGCCTGGCACGCATCAGGCACTCAGCGATGATGGGGTTTTTTCCCAGGGAAGAAACTGAGGCTCAGAAAGGCAAGGCACAGAGCTGCTAAGGGGTGGTGCTGAGATTCACACCTACGTCGGTCTCACTGCAAAGCCAGTATCTTGGCGCCCCACCCTTGCTGGCCCTCGAGCCAGGGCCAGGGCCAGGGCCGGGGCAGCTCACCCTGGCCGAGCTGACAGTGGTGGAGGTGCCGTGGCTGCCTGTGGATGAGCCCGTGTCGCTGCAGGAGACCGTGGAGTAGGTGTCCCCGGCCCCAGGGCCCGGGGGCTGCCTTGCCTTCATGGACTCGATCTCCCGCCTCAGCACCAGGTGGTCGAAGCGGTCCAGGTCTTGGGGGGAGATGGTGCCTCTCACCTCAGACAGGAGCGAGAACTGGGCATGGGGACAAACAGGGCACTCAGCCCGGGTTTCGCCAGCAGATGGGACCTGTCCCCTGCTACCCCCAATGACCTGCGTGCCAACTAGACCATTGGCCTCCCTCCTTAACCCCCTGTGACTCCCCACTGTCCTAGAAGAAGTCCAAGCAGGATACCCTGAACGCCAGGCCAGCATCATCTGACTCCTGCTTCCCTCTCACCCTGTCCTCGCTGGCATCTTACCAGCAAGCACGAGTGACTGCAGCTCCCTGAACACACCGGGAAGCCCCTGGCTGTCCCTCCCACCCAGAATGCCCTTCCCTTAAGCCTTCCCGCATGCAACTGCTCCCAGTGGATTTAATCACTTCTTCCTTTGTGCAGTTTCTGGACCCCAGACTTCCTCGAGAGGAGGGTTCTCAAAGCTGGCAGCATGGCACAATCGCCCGGGAGTTGTGGCAAACTCCCATCCATGGATATATGGAGTTAACCAGCCCGAGGGGTGGGGCCCGGGCACTGCTTTTGAAGAGCAGTCCAGATGACTCTAAATGTATGCTCAGCATTGACAGCTATTTCACTGGGGCCCCCATCACCGGGGACTTTAACTGACTATGTCCCCAGGAGTCTATGGGCTGGCTTTCCTGGCTGCCTCGGTCACCAGTCTCTGCCCAGGGCTGTTTCAGCCCGACTCTTTGTGGGTTCTCAGCAGAGGGGTGGGGGACGGAGGGAGGCAGGGAGGATGCCGAGCCCTGGAGGACTTTTGCCTTGCCCTTGGAGGGGCTCGGGTCACCTTGGCGTGCGTGTTGAGCAGCTCGAACAGGGCCATGACCAGGGCTTCCACGGAGACGCTGCCGCCACGGTACTCCTCCAGGTAGTAGGCCATGGTGGCTCGCTCCTGCTCATTCAGCAGGTGCCGCGCCTGCTCCTCCAGCAGCAGGCGCGTCTGGTTGCCCAGGCTGCTCAGGGTCACCTGGGAGCCAGCCGGGCCCTTGTAAAATCCCAGCTGAAAGACAGGAAGACGGGGGTCTGGGAATTCTGCACTGGTCTGGGGCCAAGTGGCCACAGTGCAGAGGGATGAGGTGGGTCCCTCTGTGGCCTCGGCCTACCCGGTGCACCTGCAGGAGACGTTAATTACAGGTCCGTTCTCAGACCAAGAGGCCGTGTGCAGGTGCAAACGGCATTCACGTCTTACCCCGCACTTTGACATACGTTATCTCATCAGATCCTGAAACCAATCAGAGTCGAGCAATTTTATTATGGCTCCCAATTTATTCTCCAGGTTTCAGTATCTCCCTTGGTAAACTGGGGATAAGAGTAACCTTACTTCCAAAATATGGTGCAGATCTGCACACACTCTCCACCCCCTCCTCGCCACTGCCTTAGGCGTCACTGGGAGGTGTGACTAAGATGCCATTGGGGGGGAGGGTGTCCCCGCTCCTCCCCTCTGCCTCCCCATCACCTATGCAGAGCTGCTGAAATGATCTTGTAATAATAGGAATCGCGTCGTCCTGCTCCCCAGCTTAAGCCTTTCCGTGGTTAGATGCCAAACCTCTTACGGGCCCACAGAGCACCCAGGTGATCTGGGGACCCTGCCTGCGGTCACTCTGTTTCCCGCTCCTGTTCGCTCACCACACCCCCTTACACTCTCCTTGCCTCCAACAAGCCACCTTTTTGGCACAGCGGGGCTCTGGCCCATGCTGTCCCCTCGTGCTCCTGGACCGGACTTTGTTCTGGCTACTCCTATGTAACATTCAGTTCACAGCCCGAGTATCGTGTCACCGATTCACAGAGTCCTCACTCGCCCCTCTGCCTCTCACCACCTAAATCAGGTGTCCCATCTGTTAGTCTCTCCCACACTCCCCAGCACCTTGCCTGATGGCACTGAACGTCTTCTGTGATTAGACACGTGTGCAGGATTTTTTTTTACGTGTGGGGGTCTCCTTCACTAGGTATACCCTCCTCCATGAGGGCAGGAATTGACCTCTTCTGTTCAGTGCCATTAGCCCTGGTACCTGGAACCTGGTGGTGCTCACAGATGTGTGAGGAATGTAAGGGAGGACGGACGAACGGACAGTCGGCGGGCTGCTCAAATGAAATGAGATCATGCACGTGAGTGGCTCCATGCACCTGCCAGGCCCGGAGCCCCCTACACGGGGGTGTATGAAGAAGCTACAGACAACCAATGACGGAGAGCTCCCTACCTTGTTTGTCCCTTCCGTTGTAAGATCCCCAGGAAACCTACGAGAAAGACAAACGTGTTCAGCTGCATGGCCGAGCAGTTCTAACAGGCACCAGCAAGGGAAAGGCCAATCTGGAGCAGGGTGAGCAAAAGTGTTGAGAGAACCATGGCCTCCACTCGCTGGGGCTACTCAAGGGCATAGGAACCCCTGGGCAGATGAGCGGCTTCCAGCCCCCTCATCAAGCACGGGGGCAGCATTTCTAAAACCACGCAAGGTGAACTCCTGGCTCAGCAGCCCTACAGGACCAGGCAGGTAACACAAGGACAGGAGACAATAAACAGCAAAAGACCCGTGGCCTCGGGGTCAAGGCCAACCCTAGGGAGTGTGGGTGAGGACAGGGGCCAACTGGAGACCCAGAGAGGCAACTCGCAGGTGTAGCTCAGCTCCAGCCCAATTTCATGAAGAAACATGTGCTCAAGCTGCTAGAATTCCTGATTTTAAAGCAGCAGCCAGAAGTCAGGGTTTTTGTTTTTGTTTTTTGATGGGAAACCGGATGCCTTTTTAAATGTTGGCAGCTAAATAAAAAAAATTATGATACCGTGCTGGTGAAAAGGAAAGGAGACAGGAGAGGAGGGAAGAAAGGGAAGGAGACGCTCTGGGTGCATCTGGCCCGGGAGGCCACCAACCAGTCCGAGACTTCTGATTAGAAACCCAAAGCTGACGCGTGAGGCCATCAGCAAGTACACAGCCATCAGCAACTGTGGTCACTTTATGACTCCCACGACCCTTTTCCTCGGGTGACTCACAGGGTTCCTCATTCCCAGAGCTGGATGGGGGCAGGGGTTATGCTCCCCACTTTTCAGACAAAGCATCTAAGGGCCCAGGATTAAGTTAAGTGATTTGCCCCAGGGAAATACAGGATAAGAGAGTTGGCTTATGCAGTTCAGCTTTCCATGGGAAATGGGCCAGGAGAGGAGAAGGGATGTGCCCAAGGTCACGTCTTACAAATGCAAAGGACCCTGGGATGGGACCCCAGGCTCTCAGAATCTTTAGGGATCGGGGTGTGCTGAAGGGATGGGAGGGGGCATCACTGGCTTTCGGTCCTGGGGCTCAGAGTGAGCAGTGCTGCCAGACCCTGCTGAGTTCGTGGTGGTGTCCCCAATCCGGGAACTGGCAATCCACTTGGTCTCATCCACAGTGGTGCGGGCATGGGGCAGCCTCCCGACGTCCTTCACCGTCAGGATCAGGTGCTGGGATGACTTGAGCAGCCTGACCGCCTCGTCATGCAGGACGTTGAGAAAGCTCCGCCCGTTGACCTCCAGAATCTGGTCCCCAACCTGCCAAGACCACCAAACAACAGAGTAATGCCTGGGCTGCTTGTAGGACACCGACTCATGCCAGGGGCTTCAGAGCCCCGATCCCGGTTCTCCGCCTGGCCAGCCCGACGAGGAAGTCACGGAGGCCCAGAGAGGTGATGAGGATGCCTGAGGGTCACACAGCAAGTCAATGGCAGAGTCAACTTTCCCATCCTGATCTTGAGCCCATGCTCCTGTCACTAGAAAGGACTACCTCCCCTCGACCTAGCAATGATTTAGAGAGGTGGATCTACAAGATTCCTGGGGGTCCCCTTATCTAGAAGAAAACAACCATCCCAGAGGCTTGGTGGGGGATGATACGGGGGGGGGGGGCAGGACTCGGGGACAGATGTGAAGGCATATTTCCATTACTTCCTTTCTCACTTCTACAGGGTTGAGATGTTTACCTCAGGCATGAGCATGTTTCCTTAAAATGCAAACAACAGTTTCATTTACTCACGAAAGAAGCAGTAAGTGAGAAAAGTAGCCTCCCGTTAAAGCAATAACATGTTGCTTGGATTCTTACAACAAGTAGACAGTTTTATTTTGTAATGCAAAAACACATTTTTCACATTAGTGAAAGGATTTAAAAAAAAATAAGAGGAAAAAAAGTAGCTGCCCCATAAAAATAAACCTGAGACAGAATTACAAGAGGCTGGAGGAGAAGACAGCTTAGAGTGAGGTGGGGCATCCGATAGACTCCCAGAATGGTCCACACGGAAGGTCGGGTGTTTCTCTTCCCTGCTTCTCCTGCAGGGGGCGCCCAGGGCTGCTCCCCATCAGGGCCTTGAAGGGCATCCTCCTAACGCAGATCATTCCTGCCTTCTTTTCCTTCTCTCCAGCTTCCCAGCCTGCTTATGGCACAGGATCAACCCGAGAGGGTTTCCCCAGCTTTTTTCAAAGCAGAATTTGGAAAAGGCGAGCCACTTGGGAATTTCGAAGAAAAGGAGGAGAGAAGAAGATGCAATGACGAGGCTGAGGATCAGAACCCTGGTCTCCAGTTTCTTGTCCTTCCTTCGACACCTCGCCTGCAGGTGGGGAGTTTCCAGTACAGAAAGCGGAGGCAAATTCAGTCTTGGCGTCTCCCCTCTGCACCAGCGTGGACGTGCTCTGGGAAGGCCCGCCGCCCCTTTGCCCCCACGAGCCCCTTCAACATATACCTCGCACCTACCAGGCGCCAGGCTCTGTGCGGGGACACCGTGCTGAGCAAGACAGCCCCGCCCCTGCTCTCCTGCTGCTCCAACTCGAGAGCGGGCTCAGTTCGGGGCTGTAATTGGGTTCTCCCATCAGCCTCTCCACACGGTCCCCGGGGCCCGGCGCACAGTGAGATTTCGACAAAAATTCATCCAATGAATGAAAAGTCAGACACCCGTTCCCAGCACCAGGACCATCTCTGCGGCGCCCAGAAGAGGACACCAGCCTGGAGCCCCAGGTTCAAGCCACTATTCACCAGATGCTGACTGTGCATCGAGTACCCTGTCCGTCCCTTTGTACATTTTTTCCTTATTTAATATCCTCAACATCCTGCAAAGGAGGTATCACTGCTCTTCACGCCACCGGAGAGAAAACGGGGGGCTCAGAGAGGTTAAGTAACTAGTTGGCGGTCACAGAGCTAGTGGAAAGGAGGCAGGCAGACCCACGCTGGCACGGCCCCAAGGCCCTAGAGCCTTCTCCTACTCAGCTGCCGTCAGGAGCTCTGCCCGGGGACACGCGTTCAAAGCCACCATCCTGCCGTCACTCCCCAGCCCTGCCTGCAGCACCCAGGTCTGAAAACCCACCCCATTGTCAACTCTGCCTTTATTCCCCCTGGTAACCCTTCAGCAGGTGTCACCCAATCTTCACCTCCCCCCACCCCTGGGGGCCCCCCAACCTGGGTCTCCCTCTCCTCACACCTAGGTTCCTGAGCCAGCACCCCTCCTCCGCGCATTAACTTCTAAACTGGCCTCAGCCCTGGCGCCAGGTTAATTTGCCCTCGACTTTTTGCTCGCATGACATCCTTCTCTGCTCCAAAACCTCAATGACCCCCCACGATCCAGGAGGCAGAAGAGCACTAAGGGTTAAGGATTTCAAAGACATCAGACCCGGGTTCAAAGCCTGACTCTGCTACTTCCATGCCCTGTGAGCTCAAGCAAATCCCCCAAAAGCTTCTGTGCCTCGGTTTCCTTGGGCGTAAAAATGGGGTGCTACCCCAGGACTGTCCTCCTCTGCATGCCTACAGCATCAGCGTCGTTTCCCAGTGTCCCCAGAGATACCTCCAATTCTCGGTCTCTTTCTGCATCTTTGGGCTCCCTTGGTGTGAACCCAGGCTCCTGAGAACTTAGGCAGCCCCAGCTGGTCTCCTTGAGAAGAGCCTGAGATGAGACCCAACACCTGGTTCTGGGCATGGCATACAGCAAGTGCTCAATAAGTGCTTATGCAACAAGGTAAAGATTTTGCCACTTCCCGCCCTGACCTCCGCAGCCCCATCCTGGCCTCTGGCTTGGCTTTCTCAGATGCTTAGCAGCAGAGCTTGCACAAGAACTTCTGCGGGCACTTGGGCCTTGCTGAGGATGGAAGGCGCTTCCAGCACCCTCCAGCCCCCTGCCCCCACCTTGTGACACGGCCCACCATGTGTTCGCGCCTCCACCTCGGCCCTCTGCACAGGCCCGCTCGGCCAACCCACCGGCCCCTACAGCTCTGGGCTGCAGCCCAGCCTGCACTCTCCCTCTGCTCAAGGGTTCTGGCTCCTTAAGTATCTCTCTCAAGAGCTTTGGCTTTTGTTAAGCTAAAGGAATCAATTTTAATCTTCCTCACACACTTTATTTCCATCCCAGCAGTTTAATTAAAGGAACTAGCATCTGAGAGACCAGATATGTCAGGACATCCTTTTGTGCAAAAGCCTCTCCCTGCAGGTCCTGGGGAGGGGGAGCCGGGGGAAGGACAACTCAATTCCATGAGGTCTACCCAGCCCTCCAGACAGGCTTGGTGGGGAACATCTCAAACTCTGCATGGGATGTATATACACTAAAATAAGTACTCACTGTGGGGCACCTGGGTGGCTCAGTCGGTTAAGTGTCTGACTTTGGCTCGGGTCATGATCTCACAGTTCATGGGTTCGAGTCCCACGTCGGGCCCTGTGCTGACAGCTCAGAGCCTGGAGCCTGCTTGGGATTCTGTGTCTCCCTCTCTC